GGGAGAAAAATATGCCAAGTATTAGATTTAAGAGACTTCCTGAAAACTCAGACTCTTCTAAAAAAAACCAACAGTACTGAACCTACAAGTGCTAAGTGACAGATCAGTATCTTATCTTTTATGAGGTGGAATTTCCCAACTTCCTCAGGTGATTGGCTTTGCTTAGGTTGTGAGAGGAATCGGGACTAATCTGTATGTCTGTATACTAATTGCTGATTGAGAATCAGTAGGTAATTGAACACTGAAACCTTACCCAGCTGTCTGTACTTCATGGAGCATAAAAGGAGATAGGAAGACAGAGTTGCAGCTGTAATTTAAGCTTCACCCCTGCAATGGGAGCTACAATAACTCAGGTCAGATGCAAGACCCATGCAGCCTTTCTAAGGAAGGAGATGTGACATGGATTTATAAATAACTACCTGAATTGTATCCATAGATACTACAAAACACATTTTGAGGAGGCTCTTGTTCCATTCTTAGTGAGAGCGATGGGAGATGTTGGGGGACATTACTGAAACCCAATTGAGGGAGGGAGGTGAAAGCTTTTATTGTGTATCTACTATTTTCCTTAATCTAATTTTTCCAGCCTCAGTTGTTTATAGAAAATTTACTTACAGGAAGTACATGTATGAGCAAAACCTCTTTGTGACATTAAATAATACAGAAATTACAGAAATCGGAGCACTCCAAAAGTGTGTAAGAAAGTATGGCACACCCTGGATGAATAACTGGATGATTCTGTCTTTGTTTTTAACCTCCTGTCATAGATTTCAGAAAATCACTTTCCCTTCTTTTTCACTTCCATGGATAAAATGGGATAATGATATTTAAGTACAATATTTCATAAAAATACAGTGCAGACCCATTAATAAATCCATTTGCAGGTCTTTGATTACTTCAGTATATCAAAATGTCACTACTGAGCTTGCTGACTGCACTTATTTAATTTCCTAGTTCTATGCAACTTCTAGATTATAAAATTATATTTTCTGACATAACTTATGATACAACTAAAGCAATCACTCTGAAAGGCACTTCAACACTTATTCACTACCTCTTAGACAAAGCTATAAGGTACACAGATTGCTTTTCTTCAGTTATTATAAAGATTTATTGGATCTCTAGCTCTAATATCCACTGAAGGTTTTCTCTGTCAGTATTAACTCCTTAGATCAATAAATTGTGATACTGGTCTCCTGAGAAGTCAGTGTCTGCCAGCTACCATTGCAATGTTTACCCTTTTTGAAAAGCAGTTGTAGCAAATTAAATTGGCTTCTGTCGGTAGATGTTCCTTATTTTTTGGCACAATTAACAAAGGCTGACAGGCCACCTCCTAAAGAACATGAGATTAAAGGCAAGGGTTTATAGCAAGACAACCCTGACTTTATGCTTTCACTTATAGAAGAGTTGCTGAAGACTGGAAGATGACTCTTCAAAAGAAGGAATCCTTTTCAAAGGAGCATGTTTTTAACACTGTGCACATACCTTCTGTGTTGCTGGAGAACCACTGCTGGTTCTCTAACTGATTCTCTAATCTGCTGTTAGACAGTTTACATTGTTATGTAGGTTTGTGAAATGTTCTGCTTTGAGGAAGGTACAGACAATTGGAATAAAACAAAACCAAGTCTATAACTAATTTAAAACCGCTCTAAAAACAGCTGCTTTCACTTCCATCTAGCTCAATTGATGAGAATTTGTCCTCAAACAGGATCCTGACCTTCAATCTCCAAAATGGATGTAGCAATGGGAAAAGTTTTCTCTCTTGGACTTGTTTTCTTCCTTTGCCTCATTATCAAGAAACCTCCTAATCACAGTTTTAACATCACTCTCCAAGGATAAATTATTACCATGGCCTTTCAGTGACTCCAAGGTACCTGTTCAACTGTGCAGTAAGGATGATGTATATTTAGACTGGTTCTAGAAATCAGAATAAAACTTGAGCGTTGATCTTTGCAATCATGGAAGAGTTATTGACTCTTCTAATAATGACTCTTTCTCATTCTAATAATGTGAGTTTTCTGGATATTAGCAGCCTGTTCCAAACAAAACAAAACAAAAAAGGCCTAAAAGCACTGGGAGAAGTGCTCACAGTGGGGGTTTTTTGTCATGGGCAAAATGGTATTTTTCTGAACTGTTGTTCTGAGAAATATTTGAATTGCTTGGTTTCTCGGTTTTCAGATATTTTGAAAATGTATTTTAGGTGATTAAAGCTGTGCAAATTTTCTGCCCTCTGGTAAACTGAAAGGTTTCCAGTGACACATGGAAAAGGCTCTGTCAATAAAACCCAGCTGTGCATTTTGGGCATTAAAAACATATATTAAAATGATAGTTGCACAGCAAAATACTGGAAAATCAGGTGTCCTAATTTTGCCTGATAATTTGAAATAAGATACAAATTAGGTTTATTTAGCATTTGCGATGGCATACAATATATAATTATAACCCAATGGTATAGCATCTTCTGGTTAATTTATAACTAAAACCTATCAAGTTTATGCTGGACTTGAAGCGAGTGGCTGCTTTTATGAGAACACAATTGGTTTAGACAACATCAGATAAAAAGTCCCCATTGAGTAAATTCCTCACAGTGATTTTTTTTTTTTTAATATGTATGGGGAGCTTTAGACTGAAAAGTGTGAGTATGATAAACACACCACAGAGAGCAAATTTTAATAGGGAGTGTGGTGTTGTTTGAAATTCTTAGTATATTGCTTCAGGAAGCTATCAACATCTTTCATAGAAGTGATTAGTTTGTAAGGGTTTGGGTTTTTTAATAGCTCAAGAAACAACCCTTTTGGTGCTGTCTCACTCAGTTCTCCACTATAATGAAGTGTGCTAGTGCCACTGGGTTTAATTAAGTTACACAGGCACAGATAGTGCTCTGCTTTCCTTAGAGACGAAAATTACTGGTGTTGGAGAAGCACTGAGACTATGTATATGTGAACAGCTCTAGGCTCTTCTGCCAGTGCTCATGTCTGGTCAGACTCAAATTACTTTCAGTCCAGAAGTAGTGCCCCTCCTAACACCCTTCCCCCCCCCACCCGCAACAGCCCTTTTAGTTCAGGCATGGTGCCACATCAGTGTGACACCAGACCTGGGCTGGCTCCTGTCCAGTCATCATGGAAGAGCAGATGTTTTTCTGAGGCCATTCTCTGGATGTGCCCTGAGATGTTTTGTGACAACACCAGCATCATCCTGAGGGCTGTTAAACTTTCCTTGGATTCCAGCTATCCCTGAACAATGTGCAGTTCACACTGCAGATTTTCCTGGTGATGCTGTTTCAGTGCATAAAGATGGGTCTGCTCTCCTGCCCACTTCTGATTACCAATTAGAGTGTTTGATTTGGTATGGAACTTAAGATTCTTTATTTTTTTACTCCCCCTCTTAGTTTTTTTTTTCTATTCTATGTAAATTAAAAGGTGAATTGTCTTCTGCTGAGATGCCGGCATTTGAGGTAAAACATTCCCACAGAAGTGTCCAGTTTTGTCTCCACTCTGTGTTTAATGTAGAATAGCTAAGTTTCACTTCATTTTGTAAATATTACTGGCCAGTTTTCTTGCTGATAGGTGCAGGAGTCCAAATTAAAATTTGTATTGTTTCTGAATACAATGGGTTCTACAGACATACTGGCTTTCTGATATACTGCAATCTCTCTTTATTCCTCAACATCATCTCTATGTTCTGTGGGTTATAAATTACCTGTCTCTTTTTTAGGATATAACTGTCATGGTCCCCTTCTTTCTCATTTATTTAGCAAGCAACAGTTGTCTTTTCTTTCAGCTATGGTATAACTGATAGGTATCTAATTAAAGTCACATTTTCCCAGTGGGTATTAACTTTGAAGTTTCCATGCCCTATTTTAGATTTGACACAGGGTTTTCATACCCAAAATTTTGTCTTTATTCATCCCTTACCCTTGGCTGAGTGAAATGCAGTGTCTTTCCACAAACATCTCCTGATGGATGAGCTGTTGGAAATTACTGGGTGGAGCAGTGTGCTTCACTTACAGAATTTGGGTTTATCAAAGGACTTAGGGTAAATTCATAGTGATGCAAAACCAGGTGTCGGATTAGTCAAGTGCACAAGTTGAATTTATGAAATCATTCTTCATTGCAGTGCTACATTGTGAAAAGGAAAGCACTGCTAGGCCATGCAAACTTTTTGATTTTTTTTTTTTTTTTTTTTTTATATTCTTAAGTTCTGTTTTACTGGTGGTCATGGTGGATTTTTTTTTCATTTTAGCACTTAGGGACTTTTTTTTTCCAAGAGGCAGTGTTATTCTAGTTTTCTCCAGAACAATTTTGATATTGTTTATATATGTTTTTAAACTCCATATTTTGGTCTTCTATTATTATTATCATTCTATATTGTTAAGAGTCACACATTTGTTTTAATATTTTTCACATCTGTAAAAATAATGACCATGCTAACCAACAGGTTACTGAAGAGGGTGGGGTCCTACGTCAATCTTTCAAGCATTTTGACTTGACAGATCCATTGAAATATACTGAATGATTTTGATTTATAACTTTAGTCTTCACTGTTTCTTGTTACTTGTTTGTAAGGTATATTGACTCATGTGAATTAGTTCTTTTTTTAAACATTGAACCTAATATTTTCCTGCAATATATTGCTTTCCTGTTAACTTTTACTTCTAATTATACTATTGAGTCATCCCAAGAATAATTTAAAATTTTGTCATAGTTTCTTTTGAGATAGATAAATTTTTCTATATTGACTAATATGAACAGCATGTTTGTGTACTTGTGCATGTATTTCAGTCTTTGAATGGGAGTTAATCCAAAATAAAATGCAAGTACCCATTAGTGAAATACTTGAACTAATTAGAAGCAAATAAATACAGGTTGCAGATGTCAGTCTAATTCTGTTGGATTTCCGGTGCTGTTTTCAAACTCTTCCTTTTGCCCTCCTCCAAAATGTAAAAAATTTGTCCATAGAACTTGATTGGAAAAGCAAACTCCTGTGTGCTTTTCTTTCAGAGTACGGACATGAGCCCAGCTGGCAGCACAGCCTCTCTCCCCATTAGCCCCCTTCCTGAGGAGCCGTTGTTTTTCAAGGTACAGTTAATTCCTTTAACCATAAATATTGTCTATTAATAATATCATGTTAACTCCTGTGCTGTGAAGTGCTATTGTTGCTTCTTCCTTTTCTTCAAATTACTGTGATGTCAGCAGATGTTCTGTGTATATACCATGCAATTTTCAAGAAATACTCAGAATACAATACTGGTTTGGAATATTTTTCCAGCAGACTATAGCTGTGACCTGTTGTTCTTAAGACTGCGTTTTTATCCATTATCCCATTTGGATATGTGCGTTGCTGTATAAGGAATGTGTCAACAGATTTCTCTTTATTTTGTATTTCAAATATACCTTTAACAAAATGATTAGTTTCTCCAAGGATATACAGGAGACATTAATGTCTGTCAAAGAATGGTAGGTTCTTTGTAACAGTGTAATCCACAGGCCTGGCATTTTAGTTAATAATAAATGTTGGGACAATATTCACAACTTCATGAGGTTTAACCTATGAGGAGTGAGTTGCCATATGTCACTTTGAGCTGACACTGTGGTATCCTTTGCTGGGACACAGAATAGCCTTAGGCAGATCCTCTTGGAAGAGGTCTTTGAGGCCACCCAGGTACTCAGAGCAGTGCTGCACCATCTAGCAAAGAGGTCACCTTGCCAGTTGTTCCCTTAGATAAGGAAGAGAGAACTTGGGTTTTCAGCACCATTCACTCAATTGGGTGTCAAAATACAGACTAAGTTACACTCACAGGAGTATCCTTTTTTAAATTTTCTCTCTCCCAAGTAAGTTTCCACCTTCTGTGTGCCTACAATCAGTTGACTGGGTAGAGTTTTAGTCACTTTGTGATGATGCTAAGTTAAAGCTGAGTAACTGGAATTAATGAAGTTTGATGATGTAAAGTTTGTATCTCTCCAGCATGTTCTTCCAGCACAGAAAATAACAGCGTCCTTTTGACCTGGCCAAGGCCAGAAAAGAAACCCCTTTTTTTTTTCCTCACATATTTTCAGTGTCTGTACAACAGTTGTACAACCAGCCAAATTATTCTATTAGAAGGGTTGTGGATTGTGCTTGCTCAATTGCTTCATCAGTGTAGGTACAGATGGGATATCAGAGATCAGCTATTCACTGATTCTTATTCCTCTTTTGGGATTTAATGCTTTTAAGACCCTCAGACTCAATCAGATTTGGCTGAAATTAAGCTATGGTGTGCCCAGATACCAGGGTACACATCTTTATTTCTTTGGAACACTATTTTTAAGTGCACATTGAAGTCTGCTTAACATTCTAAGTCAGATTCAGTAGTTGAGTCTCCCTGTGCCTGGAAAACCACTAAGATATTACACTTAGAAAGAAATGGGCTGCTCAGTTCAGATAACAATGGAAGAGGTAAGAAAATCTAACTTCTTAATTTTCATGCTGAGGTAATCAAACATGGCTCTGTTTGCATCAAGTACAATGTAGTGCCTTTATTTGTTAAGGAAATGGTGTTCCTATAACCCAAAATGGGTTGTAAATTACTTATTTGAAGTGGAATAATTGCTCTAATAAAACAGCAAAGATGTTTTTCATATTAAAAGTCTAGTAGAAATGGTAAAATAAACTGAAGAATAGGGCAGAGAGCATTACCTAATCTTTCACTTTCAGTCAATTTTCAAACCAGGAAACATTTTTCTTTGCAATTCAAGCAAAATGAATGGAGGTCAGATCAGGAAAAAGTTAAATGCATTTCACAGCATTTAGTAGATTTGATTAGAAATAAAAATAATATAAAATATAATAGTTTCTGTTACTCTTCCTTGGCTTACTCCAAGAGAGAGCACTACTGCTCAAGTTGTAATGTGAATGACTGGTTTTATAAGCCATAACCCTCTCTGAATACTGTCAGTAAATAATACTGTCTTTTGTTGATGGGATGGCACATTTCCCTTAGCAACATGATAATAACCTTTCCCACATCCTTGCTGTAGAGGAGATTGAAAAAGAAATTCCATTCTGTGGTCCGGAAAACACATGTAACAAAGCAGGGCCCTATAAACTGCCTCTCTTTGGGACAGTTGAAGATCTCTGAGCTAATGAGCTTTTATATTAGACTGTGAAATGAAATCAAGACTGTGTTCTCAGTCATACCTGGTTTTATACCAAGAAAGAGAACTGTCCTTCCTTGGATTTTAACGATTTGCTTTCAAAAGAAAGTCTGCATTTCTGTGTAAGGAATGAATGCCAATCCTGTCACCATACTCTTCTTGTATATCCAACTTCACCAAAGCAGATGCCTGTCATTTTTAGTCCCACTGGATATGTGCTGGAAAAATATGGAGAGCCTAAGCTTGTACAAAACCATTTTATGATTTTGAATTTAGTGAATGTTAGCAACCAGATTTCCCTGGAACTACTTGTAAGTTTCATCTCAGCTCTGCTAACAGCAACCTCAGCTACCATTCTCCCAATATATTGCACATGCTGTGACTTGTAGCAGAAAGGTACAAATCATATAGAACCCTGCTCAGGAGTGTTTGGAGGAAGATATTTTCCAGTGCAACAAGACATAGTCCACCTGAGTCCATCATATACTTTAACTGTCCTTTACTTACATCAAGACAGTAACTTTAAAAGTGTATCACTGATACTCAGCAAAAGGAGTAGAAAACAATTGGGTGAGAAATAAAGGTAGCCAACTCCAGAGCTGTTGAATCCTAAAAGCAACCATGAGAAAGTTAATGCCATTCAGCAACTTTCTTTTCTCTAACTGTTGTAAATAGTAGATTTGGTTTTCTGTGAAGAAAGAGGCAACTTTGCAAAGCAGCCAGTACAGCCAATTTTCTGTGCATCTTTGGGTTCCTTCTCTCTGTGGAGTTAGCAACACATGATGTTCAGAGCAGACTTCCTTAGCTGTACTCTTCAACATCTTAGAAAAAAATCCAGTTCAGCCATGTACAGAGACACTTTGGCAAAATATTTCTTCAACCATTTTTTATAAAGCCGTCATAGGTGTTTCTTTTTAATGAGGGTTGGTTTTTTGTCAGATTCCAGCTTTCAATCCTCTACTGTTTTCCATGTGTTCAGAAAAGGAAGATCTTTTCCTACATTGTAGAAAAAGTTTATTTCTCCTCTCAGAAAAGAACATAATCTTTGTTGGTGGTTCTGCGCTTAAACTTTCAAGCAGGCAGGATCTTCTTTTGAACAGAAGTTTTTTCTTCTGTTGCTTTATAATATTTCTTGAAGAATTAGGTCTTTGTCTTAGGGAGAAAGTTATGTCACAATTGAAATGTTCCAGAACTAAGTATTTGGAATATAATGAAGCAGAATGGTATTTGTCATGCAATCCTAAGTGTTATTCTATGTTAAAATAGCAAAACTGTAGCTGGCTCAAATGTGAGTGGCTTTTAATTATGAGTACTTATATCTGCTCTCATTAGCTGGAATTAAAAATAATCCTGCCTTTCATTTAGAGGATAAGTTAAGGAGTGGGTATTTTTAAAAGGTCAACTTAGCAAGCAATGTCTCATCCATTTTTTAGAACCTGTTCTTTTCTCCTACTCATTATGCTGTGCTTTATTATAATAGTATTTTATTATTTTGAATTATTTTAAAATATAGTGACAGTCTTTTAAGAAGAGATCTATGACAGCCATTTGGTACATCAAATATCTAATATAGCTAATTATACATTATCTGTTGTAATGAGCATCAGTCTCACTGGTTATTAGTCACAGCCAAGTTGTAAATAATAACCATAATAGTAATTTATTGTAGAGATGTTTAATTGTGTCTCGATTCTGATTAATCTCAACCATGCTTTACTAATTGGCATTAAATGAAAGAAAAAAAAATCCTCCATTATTTCCTTTCTCCTTTGAGGGAGCTTCAGTATTTATTATCCTACTGTGTTCTGACTTCTGTAATTAATACCCTCGATGCAAATTCCTTGAGTAAGAAAACAGAAGTGCCAGGTCAAGTAGCAAAAGCTGACAGTCCTCAGTAGTGTTGCCACTGCTGTAGGTCTAGTGAAGTGTAAGCTAGACTAAATTATGTCTATACTTAGGGTTTTACTATTCATCCTGCAGCTTTACAAGCTCTGGAAATGCAAATCAGTGCAATTCACAAATGGGCATGAGCTCTGGCAGCTCCTGACATTTTGTGCCTAGAATTAGCAAGAGAGAAAGGTCTGTAATCACAATTTAATTTTACAGCAGATATTTGGAATAATCAATATGAAAGGCACAGTAATGACAGCTGGCTAGCCCAAGAGTGGGACTTCGTATTTCTAGGTGTAGACTGAAATCTTTTCTCAAGTTACTCAGCAATGAAGACAGCAAGCTGGTCCTATAGTTGCAAAAGCTTCCTATGCTAGTTGACACAGCCAGCTTATTTACCCTCTCTACCTTAAATGGACTATTTCCAATATTTTAAGTGTTTTCTAACACTTCCTTAAATGAGGAGAATTTAATGTGTTGCTTTGTGTTCAAAACAGACTTTGAAATAATCACACAGGCATTGTGACCCCTTGGCAGATAGAGCAGGCTGGGGTTCAGCGATGCTCTCTAGTGAGGCCTCATAAACCTTATAAGCTTTTGTCCCTCTCATTCCACCCTCCAGCTGAATTTCTGCTTCTGCTGAGAAGCATCTGAAGCCTCTGTGGTTTTGGTTTGTTTGTTTTAGATAGGTTTTTGATATTTCTAGTAAAGTGAGTAGAGTTGTAGAATTGTGACTCACACAACCCCACCTTTACTCTTCTGCTGCCTCAGTCTCCATCCTATTTTAAGCCAGTCTGTCACCATTCTTCAGTGTTTTAATCAATTCCTCCCACTCTTAATTGTTATCTCCCATGTCAGTATTTTCTTTCCTCATTACTCCTGTGCTGGTATAGCACAGACTTTTAAAAGTCACATAATCACAGCAGCTTTCTGTCTTCAGTGCAAGCCTTCCATTTTGTCATTTCTCAAAAATATTTATACATCTGATTTTTTTCACAGTCTTTATCATCATAGGATATGAGATCTAGAACAGCGCTGAATTTGTTCTGAAGGGA